CGGGCAATGCCTTGAGGAGGGGAGGCTGGGTGCAGAACCAGGCTCAGTGGGGAAGGAAGGAAGGAGCTCAGCACTGTTGACCCTGGCTGCCATCGGTCTCTTGCAGTGCTGCTTGTGTCCCTTAAGCATCTCCCACTCAGGCCAGTGCTACCTCTGATGCTCTCTGTGCCACCCCTGGGGCTTGCGGGCATCCCTTCCTGCCAGCCCGGTGCCAGAGGGAGGTGGCAGGCCTGGTTGTGGGCTGGAGATGTACCCTTTCTCCAGCTGGCCAGCTCTGCTGTTCCTTTCCTCCGCTCATCTGGGAGAAGTTCACGAGCCCCAAACAGACAGCTGCTTTTTTCCCAGCTGATTGTACTGGTCCCCAAAAATGCCCCAGGCTCTGAGGCACCTTGGTATGGGAGAGCTGTGGGGAGCCTCTGCCAGGCAATGGCTCTGGGTTGTCTCTGCAAAGGCAGCCCCGCCACCACAGTTCGGTGGAGCATCCTAGGCTGTTTTGCAATGGACCTGTCATCCCTGAGGGCTTTGACCCAGTGGGCCCAGGCTGTGCCTTTTGCAGGGTGTCTCTAGCTGAGCCATCAGCCACGTTGGCAGCACTTCTTTGTCCCACGGGGCTGCCTCGCAGGAGTGGGTACTCCTCGGCCGGCAGTGCTGGATATTCACCTCATTTCCAGCCACTTGATCCTGGAGCTTTCCTGCTCCAGCCTCACCATCCATCCTGGGCACAGGTTGTGCTTTGCACACATTCCTCCTCCCTTGATCTAATAGCCAGCCCTCTTCTGTCTTCCAGGAAAGCTATTGCCAAGTCCAGCCTCCAGCATATGGTAGCCCAGCCAAACCCTGCGCTAGCCCTAAGGAGTGACTCGGAGAGGCAGATACGCAACACTGTGGACTGGAGCGTAAGTTGTAGCGTGTTTTGCTAGGTGTTGCATGGAAAGGGCTCCTGGCCAAGAAGCAGCAGGCTCTTCCCAGGCTGAGGCTTCCCAGGTGACATCAGCTTTGACACATTTATGGCCTCCACCATTGCCACCAGCTGGTGCCAGCATCTGTGCTGCTGGCAGCACCCCTTGATGCTACAACGAAAGGCTGTGCAGGCACAGGTGGTTCCTGGGAGGATGGCATAGCTACTCCACTGCCAGCTCTTCTGCTCCTGGCAGCCAAGGTCTTCTGGTGGCTGGGGACAAGCAGCAGGAGCAAGTCCCTGCTCCTTTGCAGGCAAAGCCCAGCAGGTTTTAAGCTGTACCCTGAGGCTGTAGAACAGAAGCTGTTTCAGGAGAGTCCCCTGCATTGAATTTGCCCCAGTGCCTCATCTCAGGGGGCGATGGAAGTAGCTCCCCTGTGGAGGACACTGCAACTGGGCTGTAGGTCTTGCAGGTGATTTCCTGGGACCCTCTTGTTTCCAACGGGTAGGCCATGGCAGCAGCTTGTGAGCTTTGCTCTGTCCGGATGTTGGCCCTGGTTGTTCTGTGCACCTTGTCTCCTGGCCTACACCTAGCTCCAACTTCCCAGCCCCTAGAGTTGTCCAGTATCTTGTCCCTCGCACAAAGCATTTTAGGCGCTCGGATGCCCATCTGGGTGTGCTCTGAGAGAAACGTGTTGTCTTGTGCCTTCCAGGAGACTGCGGTCTATGGGGAGCACATCTGGTTTGAGACCAATGTCTCTGGGGACTTCTGCTACGTTGGGGAGCAGAACTGTATGGCAAAGCTGCTGGTGAGTCACCTGGGGTCACCCGCCTCCCCAGCAAGGGCCGCAGATGCGGGCTGTGCTGCCACCCGGCGGGGAGACCCTGCTGCTGCCGCCGGGGGACACGCAGGGATCTGGGGGGCTGCCAAGGTGGGGAGCGTGTCCCTTTACCTTTGTGTCCTAGAGTGCTGCATCCCCAATTTCTGCCAGTGCTGGTGCTCAATTTGCAACGGGTACCCGACGCAGGGTTGCTGCTCACCCAGGGGTGATGTGATGATATTCCAGGGAGAAGCTGTTGGGATCCCACATCCTTAGAGGGATAATCTGAATCCAAAACCTTTCAGTAGAGGATAGAAGTGAGCGCTGGAGACCCAGGCCTGCTGCCTCCTGACCCTGTAGGCAGCACTGATCTTACGGGGTTGCTGCAGTCCTCCCTCCCAGCTTGCAGGCTCAGTCCTGCTTGTGATGCAGAACACGGAGCACTGATGTCATCCAGTGCCTGCCCATGGGGCTTACCGGGGAGCCCTGCGGGTGCCTCTCACACCGGCTTCCATGGTGCTCTCAAGCAGTGTCAGAAGAGGCCAAGGACTGCGGGACAGGACAGCGGGAGAGTACTTCCCTGCTCTGTGCCAGACTTGAGAGCATCTGCTCTAGGCACGTGCTTAGATTCCTTCCCTTGCAAGGAGTCTAGATTGTGTCTGATTTTCCTATAGGGCTTGCTCTGCATCCTGAAATATATGAAGGAGGTGTGATGGGAGGCTGAGCTTGCTGGCCTCTGAACACTGCTGTTCACATGCATGGTTTTTCTCCCCTTTTCTCATCCTCCAGCAAAAACCTCTCTCCAGGCGTAAGTGTGCAGCCTGCAAGATCGTAGTGCATACACCCTGCATCGAACAGTTGGAGAAGGTGAGTAGAGCCTACTAAGCCCTCTCTGTGGCTCGCAAAACTGTAACAGCCTTTTTTCTGGGCAGTCCTTCCTCTTGGGTAGTTAAACACAAAAAGATCGGGGAACTGCCATGTGTCATTGCAAAGAGAGGCAATACCAAAAGGAGCATTTAGTGACATGATTGGGAACCCAGGCCCCGTTTTGGTCAGGAACAGAGATATGTGAAGGGTTTTGCAGCAAGCACCAAACATCTCCAGAGGTTCTGGGCCTGCTGTAGTAAAGTAAACTCCAGGTATGATGGTTTTACTGATTCCTCTCATGTGTGTTCTATCTACAGATAAATTTCCGCTGCAAACCTTCCTTCAGGGAATCAGGATCCCGGAACGTACGGGAGGTGAGAGATGTGCCTCTAACACTGCCCACGTCTGCCCCCCACCCCCACCAACCCCTCTTTCCAGTTTGGTGGCAAAGACGTCAGGTGCTGCCAGCGCGTTGCCCATCAGAGTGCAGGCATTGTGCTGCCTCCTGGCTCCAAGGAGGTGGCACAGTAAAAGGGATGTTTCTTTGCAAGGCAGCAGCACAGACTGGGCGTGCGGAGTGAGGAGCTCGCAGGCAGCAAACGCAGAGCATCTGCTGGTTTGGATGTTCTAAAGCTCCTGCATCTGCATGGGGGAACCTGCAAATAGTGTTTTCTGGGAGAGTTTTTCCCCCCTTGTGCTGGTCCCCAAGGAGATAGAGGAGGCTGTGGCAAACAGCAGTTCCTCAAGTCTCACACAATTTGGAAGGGAGCAATATGGGCTCACTTCTGGCTTCATCACTCAGCCCTGACCTGGGTGCCACAGGTACTGCAGGTAGCAGTGGGAAATGCCCACAGTGGTGCTGTCGGACCCCTTTAGCCTGCGTTTTAACGTGCTGGGAGTAAGCAGTGGCCTGGGACCTGTCTGCTGAACTGTGCTGGTGGAAGCACCTGTCAGCCTTCGTGCCTCACCCTCCAGCCTGTGGAGCCAGCGTAGCCCACGCAGTGCTGTGGAGTGGGTGTAGATGGCTCAGTCATGGGCCATTTTGGTAACAGAGCTGCTGCCTCTGCACCGTGTTTGTGCTGACACAGCAGACACAATAGGGGAAGGGTAGTCAAACACAGGGCTGCCTGCTCAGAAGTGCCAGTGTGACCTGGTAAGGTGAAGCTTTCAGCATCACTTTAAACCTTCCTTTCTTCCTTTTGCTTCTCCTGCCGTGCCTCCTTCCCATATCACTCTTAGCCCAGCTCCCTTATTTGTCCTTCACTTACTTCTTGGGCTCTGCTGACAACTCTCTGCCTCTGCTCACTGTTCTGTCTCTATTTTCCTCCTCTCCAACCTCTACATATTTTCTCTCCCCTCTCTTTCCTGGTTTTCCTCCTTTTTCTCATAAACTCTGCTTCTCCATCCTGTCTTTCTAATACTCCTCAGTTCCTCCAAGGGCTTTTCCCTCCTGTTTCCCTAGAAAGGTGCTTCTCTGGCCTTTGTGCTGCCAGGGATCCCCTTCAAGGTCAGCCCTTTCCCTAGATGTGCCCGCTGGGACCCAGAACTGAGCTCAGGGCATAGCCCCCCTTCTGCTGCCACTGGATTAATGTCCACTAAAGCCAACAGGACTCTTTGTCCTCTCCTGTGTGCTGCACTCAGAGCAGGCAACACTGGAGCTGACCCAGATCTCCTGCCAGTTTCTGCCTCTATTATCATGATCCCAAAAGCTGCCAAGAGCAGGGTGTTGAGCCCTGCTGTGCTGGGCTGTGAAGTCACGTTCCCTCTTCTCTCTTTGCTGCCCTCTCTTCTATGCTGTTCCCAATCCAGGGCTGGAAGAGGAGGGTGGGATATAGGAAATGTGGTACTTCATTACAAAACTCCTGACCCCCTCACAATCACTCCTGCAAGTCCCAGCCCTCACCCACCATGAACATGCAGGCAGGGAGAAGGTGCCTGTGAGCAGCCTTGCTCCCTTCCCCACGGGCAGGTGCTGAGGCAGGCTAGCAGGACTTGTCCTGGGGCGAAGAGCAGCAGTGAAGTGGATGTGGGGGCCTTTGAGGCTGCTGCTCTCCTCAAGGAACGTGGAGCTAGGTGGTTTGCTGCTTAGCTGTGAGCACTTCAATCTTCTCGCTGTGGGCACAAACTGTGTCTCCCTGGGGATTTTCACACCTTCCACCAGCATGTTTTTTTACCTGGCACTGGGGGCTTATAGGCAGAGATGTTAAGGAACGGAGATGTGATTTATGGGCACAGTAGCGCTCTGTGCTACTGCTTGCCCACTCTCATTTGGGTTTGCTTTGTGTGATTCTCAATCTTCAGTTTTCCTCCCCTCCTTCCTGTTTTTTCTGGGTTTAATTCCCTCTTCTCTGAGGACCTTAATTTGGCTTCTCACCTCCTCATTCTTTGGCTTTGCCTTCTCCCAGAGGGTTAGGGTTGGTGCATGTGAGCAGTGGGCTTACTGTAAGAGCAGAAGTCCTGGCTGACATGGGTCTATTCCTCCTGCCTGTTCCTGTGTGCCCTCACACATTGGGCCTTTCATTCCTTTTTTTTTTTTTTCTCTTTTCTTTTCCCTTTAGCCCATCGTTGTCCGGCATCACTGGGTACACCGGAGGCGGCAGGAAGGGAAATGCCGACAATGTGGCAAGGTGAGAGGGCATCTTAGTTTTGTTTATTTTTTCCTCAGCCTGAAGGAAAGCTAAGGTCAAACCAGAGACAAGAACAGGGCTGGGGACGTCCCACCATTCGTGTTTGGCAGCAGCAGCCTACAGCAAAACCAAGACGCGTGCCCTGTTTTGTACAGTGAAGCACTGCGTGAGTGCTTCCCACATAGAGTTGTTCTCCCCCTGGGCCAAATCAATCCTGGAGGGGACTGTCTTCCTGACATGCTTTCCTCACGCAATAGGGACACCCCTGCAGAGTGCAGTGGCCTCCCTGGTGCTGTAGTGGTGGTTGGGGCTATCTGATAGAGATCTGGAGAGCTCCAGCTGCAGGCACGCTCTCTTTGTTAACGTCTCTCTTAGTGGTGAGAAAGTCCTGTTGGATGGTAGAAAGCTGTGAGGGAATTCCCTAAGTCTCTTATCCTTCCCTCCACAGGGTTTCCAGCAGAAGTTTGCCTTCCATAGTAAAGAGATTGTAGCCATCAGCTGTTCCTGGTGCAAGCAAGCGGTGAGCAAAGCCCCCACTGAATGCCTTACCAGCTTGTTCTGCACCTAATGACCTCTGCTTTCTGCTGGGACTCCCCAAGCTGCTTCTCTTGAGTCTGCCCTTAACAGCTCCTCTCACCAGAAGAGGCTGTACTGTGATAGCTGCAAGCTCCTAACAAGAAACTTTCTCCTCATTGCCTTCCCATTACAAAATTCCTGCATGGTTCACTCCAGCACTCCCTGCACTGGCATGGGGGAGCTGGTAGGAGGAAAAGGTGGCTGTCCCCATCAAACTGAGCAGCTGAATTTTCTCTCTGTCTTCTCCTTCCCCAGTACCACAGCAAAGTGTCATGTTTCATGCTGCAACACATCGAAGAGCCCTGCTCGCTGGGGGCTCACGCTGCTGTCGTCGTTCCTCCTACCTGGATTCTGCGGGTCCGGCGGCCCCAGGTAAGTGACCTCAGCTCTTGTGGCTCTCATAACTCCTGCTTGCCCAGCAGCTCCTCACGGAGTTTCTGGGTTTGTTTCTTTTCTCTCTAGAATCCACTGAAATCTAGTAAGAAGAAGAAGAGGACATCATTCAAGCGGAAATCCAGCAAAAAAGGGGCTGAGGTAAGAGATGAGGGGAAAGGGAATGACCATGTCTTGGAAGGGTGGAGGGACTGGACAGTGAGGAGCGGGACTGGGAAACAAGGGGGCTTTGCTGGGTCTGTGCTGAGGTTAAGGAGGGTGAGGTGGAAGGAGGAGGGTGCCTGCTGGCAGGGCAAATCCCAGCTATAAGGCTAATGAGGTGGTTGGGACATTCTCTTCCTCCCACTCCTGACCTGCGTGATGTTATGGCTCAGCTGGAGGTGGGAGTTTGCATTTCCCCAAGTTTGTTGAAGGACCTGTAGTGTCTCTTGCAGGAAGGGAGGTGGAAACCCTTTGTCATCAAGCCCATGCCAGCTCCTCTCATGAAGCCCTTGCTGGTGTTTGTGAACCCCAAGAGCGGTGGGAATCAGGTATGGCCCTGTCCTATGCCTCCCTGAGAAGGCAGCTCTGTGAAGGCTTTGCCATTTGGCTGCTGAGGTCTCATCATAGTTTTGGTGATGTCTCAGCTGCAGAAGAGGCAAGGCAACCCCCACAATGCCTGTTTGCTGCCCGGCATTTCCCACCTAGGTCAGGCTTTGCCTGAGTGCCCCCAGAACAGCATTGTCTTGGCCTGTCCCCAGGACCAGATGCTGCTTTCTGCCATTCACTGGGAACTCCCTGTTACCTGAAGTCTTTCTTCTCCCCATAGGGAGCCAAGATCATCCAGTCCTTCATGTGGTATCTCAACCCACGGCAAGTTTTTGACCTCAGCCAGGGTGGACCCAAGGAGGCGTGAGTACTGATGGGGGCAGCACCCTTCTCTCCCCGATCCCTGCCCCGGAGATTCCTCCCCAGAGCTCTTCCCACGGCTGACAGAAGCATGATACTGCGTAGCTCCCTTGTGCAAAGAGATGTCCAACAAGTTTATGCTTTGAGAGCCCTCTCTACGATACATTGTGGTCAGTGTTTCCTGCCAGAGGGCTGGTCTAATCTTAAGGCTAGTGGTGAAGAGACCAGCTGTGAGGTGATGTTCCCAGACCTAGTTCATTATGTTCAATTAATGTCATGTGAGTCTTGGCTGCTTGCTGCATTTTGGTTTATCTATGTTTATGCAGACTGTGGACGCCCCCCTCTTCCTCTGCAAGAGGTGGTGAAGCCAAAGCTACTGTGGCTTTGCCCGCTGCTGTGAACTGCTGTGGCGATGGGGAGGGAGATGTGCACGTGGCTTTGTGAATGCCAAGGGCTCTGTGAGGGCAAGGACCCCTGCAGCCGCTGCATAACACCTTCAGGGCCTCTCCCCTCCTCACCCTCCCTGTTCCCTGCAGGCTGGAGCTGTACCGCAAGGTCCACAACCTTCGGATCCTGGCATGCGGGGGAGACGGCACGGTGAGTCCCCCAGCCCCTCTGTGCCTGCAGCGCCCTTCGCCCCAGGCCTTTCCAGTGCCAGCAGCAGCCCTCCTCACTGTAATCCAGAACAGGGCAAAATGTACACGCTGTGTCCGTGATACAGCTGGTGGCACTGGATACTGTGGGTCCCCTCATGCACTGCTCCAGAGAGTGCTTGTCTGTGGTGTGTCTGGATTTGTAGTCCTTTTGGGGGCCAGTGTCCTTGCTGGGGTTACTGGTATCTCCCACAGCACCCACTTGGAGCATTACAGACTGTGAATAGCCTCGGCGGTGACTAAGGGGACCCCATCTCTGCCCCTCTGCCATCGCTAGTGCTCTAAGTCACCTCCACCTGCCTGCTGGTCCCTGAAATAACCAACCGTCTCTTTGTGTTCTCTTGCTCGAGCAGGTGGGCTGGATACTCTCCATTCTGGACCAGTTACGCCTCAACCCACCACCTCCTGTGGCCATCCTACCTTTGGGGACAGGGAACGACTTGGCCAGGACACTGAACTGGGGTGGGGTAAGTGATGGGCACAAGAGCCTGCTGCTGACAGAGGGGTTGAGTGCTTCAATTCTGGTTCCAGACACATGGGTGGGGATTTGCATGGGCTGGGTGTTTTTACTTTCTCTAAATACAGACCAACAAATAAGTGCCATTTGGATGTTTCTGTTCTTCTGACATTTGAATTATTCTGCATTAGATTATAATCTATTAGGACATTAACAAAAGCAATCATTATTTCAAACTTTGGGAGATTTTTAGAAGGAAGATGTATTGTTTTAATTTTAAATTCCCACTTTGTGCATTCAAGTAGAATGGATCTTTTCTACATCTTGTGCTCTGGGATGTCTTCCCAAAGTCCACTGTCTCTGGGGCATCTCTGTGGGAGGCAGGTAGGAGACTTACCAACTCCCACTCTTCACCAGGGTTACACAGATGAACCTCTGTCCAAGATCCTGTCACACGTGGAAGATGGGAACATTGTGCAGCTCGATCGCTGGAACCTCCGTGTGGAGCCAAACCCTGATGCAAACCCTGAGGAAAAGGATGAGGTGGCCACTGACAAGGTGGGACACCTCCTCTCCACGTTCATTCCCTGTGCTGGGGGTCTGCGTTCTCCTTCTCCCGCTGGCTCAGGCAGCACCAGCACCTGGGGCTATGTGTTGGGCTGGCATTTCCCTGCTCCAATTCCATTCCTGTTCTCATGGCTCTGACCCATGGCACTCATGGTGACATGTGTAGAGATCAGAACTACATGTCCACCAGAGGTTTTTAACCACTGCTTGCAACAGGTATAAGCCCAGTCCCCTCTGAGACTGTTTCTTTAGCAGAAACATGGGTGATTGCAGGTATCTTGGAGAGCAGAGTGTGACCCCTTGGGCCGTGTCCCTTACCCCTAGGAGCCAGGGTCCTAGGAGGCTGGTGACCTCTATTTTCCTGGGGGGAGAAGGCAAGCATCCACCCCCTCAGCTTCGTGAGCACAGTGCATGGCTCTGCTATAGCCTGACCTCATCTTTGCTGTGGCCACACACTGTCAGCCTCATCTTTGTTCCTCCTTTCCATTTCAGCTCCCCTTGGATGTCTTTAATAACTATTTCAGCCTTGGCTTTGACGCGCGGGTGACGCTGGAGTTCCACGAATCCCGAGGTACGGCAGGATGGCAGGGCTGGGTATAGGGTCTGTAGTGATGGGGTGCCCCAGATGTGGGCCCATAAAACACTGCTTGGGAAGGTGAACAAGAGGATTGCCCCAGGGACAGGGCTGGAGGTGAAACCTGGGGAGCAAGTGGAGGCTGCAGGGGGGGGGGGGAGAGCGGTGCCTGCATGGGAAGGGAGCTGGGGGCTGCATCCTGGCTGAGGCTGGCTGGAGAGCCGTGTCTGGGGAGAGCTGGCAAGTGAAATATTTCCATGTGCAGGCCAATGACCTGGACTTTTTTTCTCCTTTCCCTAGAGGCCAACCCAGAGAAGTTCAACAGCCGGTTTCGGAATAAAATGTTCTATGCTGGGGTGAGTGTGTGGAGGATATCAGGGCATGCCTTCATAGCAGCCTTAGCATCAGCTGGAGCACAGGCATGGCCCCAGCTCCTGTCTGCATCCTCAACTCACTCATCTGAGTTACACGGGCCTTCATGTACACGCAAGCTAAGCCCCCCTCGAAGCTGGAGAGGTGCTGGAGAAAGGCTGCAACCCTGGGAGTCGCAGTTCCTCTTTGGCTGCGAGTGCTGCTGGCAGTACAGCTTGCTCTCTGGCCTGCGGTACAGTTGCTGTCTTGATCTCCTGCCACTATTGTTCTTGTTCTCCGGCTCACGGACAGTCAACCCAGGCAGGACCTCCCCGGAGCTGTGAGGAGGCAGGCTGTCCCCCCTGCAGAGGAACGGGAAGCCTTTCCATAAAGTCCCCACACTACTTTGGTCTTTTATTTTATACCTTGGGTCAGTTACAACTCCCTGGCTAATTATGCCACCCTCCTGTATCACACCTCTACAGCTTTGTGTCTCAGTGTCATCTTTGTTTGTCCATCCCCCCATCCTCAATATACCTCCCTACCTATGTGGCTGGGTGACCAGTATTTGAGCAGTACTAAAGGCCAAGTGCTGCTCTGTACCATCTCACATCTCTCTCCTGTTTGTGTCTCCCCTCCTCTCCATACAGTTAAACCCAAAGGGGACCCCAGGATCTGTGTAACAGAGGCCGTACTGTCTCTCCTGGTATCTCCAGATGGGGTCACATCAGCTCTGTTTTATAGTACTTCATTGCAGCTTGAGACTGAATTGCAGCTTGAGACCGAATTTGTCTCTTGTGACTTGAGTCTCTCACGAGTGGAGACCGACCTTGCCAGCTCTTCCCTAAAGCTGGGACTGGGCTGGCAAAGGAATACTGGAGGTGTTACTAAAGCTGCCCTGAGGATTTTGGTCGGCAAAATGGCCAGAGGAATGGATCAGGTTGTTCTGGGGAGGGGAGAAGAGAGGGCTTCTGCCAATAGACAAGGAAGAGTTTTGCTGCTCTTGGCAGCTGAGGTCTGAAGGTCAGTGGCAGGCTTCCTGGCTGCTCATTTCAGTGAACGTGTGGGTGCTAATGTTGTCTCTTGCCTTGGCAGACGGCTTTCTCCGACTTCCTCACAGGGAGCTCCAAAGACTTAGCGAAACACGTCAAGTTGGTTGTGAGTGTGCAGGGGTGCTCTGGGCCAGGGTGGGGGTTGAGCTGCCGAGGGGTGAGGAGTGCTCCATTGGCACACTGGGTATCTCAGGATTGGGGAGATGATGTGTTCCCAGTGACATTGGCTTCCCCTGGCTTGGAGGACAGTCACTGTGGGGAGCAGAGGAGGAGGTAATTTCCTCCCAGCTGGGTAGGGTGGGCCAAGCCCTCCCTTACAGCAGCCTGAATGTCCCTGCTTTGTCTCCAGTGCGATGGGACAGACCTGACCTCCAAGATCCAGGACCTGAAGCCCCAGTGCCTGGTCTTCCTGAACATCCCCAGGTGAGCAGTCCCAGGACCTGCCTCATGTGCTGGGCTCCTCACCCCCATGCCACAGATCCCTGCTCGGGTTTGGAGGGGCATGTTCATGCATCGCTTGCCATCCCTTCACAGGTACTGTGCAGGCACCATGCCCTGGGGCAACCCTGGGGAGCACCACGACTTCGAGCCACAGCGCCACGATGACGGCTGCATTGAAGTTATTGGCTTCACCATGACATCCCTGGTGAGCTGGTGCTGTTGCCAGTTGTACCTAGCAATGAGGGGAGCGACTAGTCCCATTGACCAGGCGTCAGCCAGCCCCCTCGTTCCCCAGCTTCCCTCCTGAGGAGCTGTAGTGCTGACCCTCTGAGATTTAGGCTCTCATGCCCTGGTCTCTGTGGATCCCTTCTAGAACTTGGTTCACTTGCGACATCTGGCTGACAATGGGTGCTCCCCGCATCCACCCCTCAGCCCGTGCTCTGCTCTCACTCTGGACCCTTTCACAGGCTGCCTTGCAGGTTGGTGGCCATGGGGAGCGGCTGTGCCAGTGCCGGCAGGTGGTTCTCACCACGTCCAAGGCCATCCCCATGCAGGTAGATGGAGAGCCCTGCAAGCTGGCACCTTCCTGCATCCACATCTCCCTGCGCAACCAAGCCAACATGGTGCAGAAGACCAAGCGGCGCAACTCCATGCCTCTGCTCAATGAGTAGGTTCCTCGGATCAATCTGCCACCTCCTCTCCAAAGCAGAAGGGATGGAGGGGGAAAGGATGGGACTGATCCATCACTCCCAGAGGCATTTCAGTCCTCTCTCAAGAAGGACCTGGGAAGGGATCAGGTCACAGAAGTGTGGCCAGACCCTGCTGCTGGAGAAGCTTCTGGTGCCAGGGTCCCCACCCTAGTCTGTGTTCTTGCATGTTTTGGAGGGGTGGGTGGGATAAGAAGAAAGTGGTCTGTCACTTTCTGATCTCTTCCCTTTTCCTTCCCTCCTGCACACAGCCAGCAGCCAGTGCCCGAGCGGCTGCGGATCCGGGTGAGCCGAATCAGCATGCGTGACTACGAGGCACTGCACTATGACAAGGAAAAGCTCAAGGAAGCCTGTGAGTGACCAGCTGAGTGACCAGGGGGTGGGAGCTGCAGTCCCTAAGTCAGGCAGTGCCCTCAGCTCAGCTGTATGAGGTGCTGGGGATGGAGGGCTGCTACCTGAGTTGTGTCTGTGCCCTGTCATGCAGCTGTGCCGCTGGGGATCATTGTGGTTCCAGGAGACAGCGACCTGGAATTGTGCCGGACCCAAATTGAGAAGCTGCAGGAGGTGAGGCTTTATGTGCAAAGTGGTCACGGCTGGATGCTGAGGATGGGAGGGGCTTGAGGAAGGAATTTCTATGCCTCCTTGACCTGCGCACACCAACGCACATGCTCCTGCTTCTGGTAGCAGGTCAAGGTTTGCCTTCACCCCATGGTGGAGACAGGACCCCAAGCTGGATGGCTTGTTGCTCCCTGCTGTCTGGCAGCTTCTTTCTCAGTGTTGCTCTTCTGACTTTGTTCTGCAGGCTCAGAGTGTCGGTGGCTCAGAAAAATTATGGGGCAGTGGACAAAGCCAACATACATCTTTATGGGGGCCTGTCACACCCTGGCTCTTTGGGGAGGCCTTTCCTCTGTCCTTTTATTTGCTGTGGCTGTGTTTCTTCAGCCCTCTGTGGGCTCTGTGTTTCCTGGCACAGCTGTGCCCCTCCCAGGGTGCCTGGATTAGGGTTGCTCCCCCTCCAACTCTCTTCATTTGCAAGTACTAACTTTTGTGCTCCTGCCAATGTGCTAGCGCGTGTCCATGACTTGGACATGGGCTGTGTAACCCTTGCTCCTGGTGAGCCATGCCTTCTGAGCCCACAGCGTGCCTCCTGGTGCTGCACTGCTCAGTCTGATTTTCTCTCAGAAGATTGAAGGGTCTTGCTCAGTCCCCACTTAGCTGGCTCTTGTGCCTGAAGGAATCCCATCCAGCGTGCGCGTAGTGTCCTGCAGGGCTGAGTTGCAGAGCTGCTTGCCCAGGCTGGCATGCTGGCATCGGCTCCTTGCTCTGCCTGCTCTGCATGTCTGTCCCCTGCCCACCTTGTGCCCAGGTACTGGTGAGGGCACGCAGACAGGCACATGGTTAGCAGCTCCCAGGCTCAGAGGGTAACGCTTTCCTACAGCATCAACCCGGTAGACTGATGCCTCTGCAACCTCCTGTGCCTCTAAAGGTGTGTGTTGAGGCTGGTGTTCCTCGATCACCTCGTGGTTTACTTTTTCTCTCTCCTTGGGCAACCACTGTGCTCTGGCCTCAAAGCAGGGCAGGGACCAGAGACTTTGGCCACGCAGTGTGTAAAGCCAGATAGGGCAGCACATTAAGGAACACTAGTGGGACAACAGAGGGGCTGGGGGGCCGCCCAGACAAAAGCTGTAACGGCACACCTTGCCTTTCTGCAGGATTTCCTTCCACAGCCATCTGCTTTAGAGCGCCTGCTCTTTCAGGTGTGTATGGCTTTGCTCCGTGCCCTGGGCCCATCTGTCATGTGCACCATGCTGGTTTGTGGGCTCGTTTTGTGGCACCTGTCTCTCCAGGGAGCTGGTGTGTGTCAGCTCCAGTCTGTCCCATCGTGGTGTGCTGTGCCTGTGTTCAAGTTCCCCTTTCCATCCAAGCGCCTGTGGCCCTCCATATCTGCAGGGACCTCCCAAAGCAGGAGGGACACTCTGGGGAGAGATGGGCAGGTCAAGAGACGCAACTTTATCCTCTCTTTTTTTTGGAGGAGGGAGATGGAGCCAAACCGAAGACACTGTCATCCCAGAAGCTGTCGCCCAAGTGGTGCTTCCTGGACTGTGAGTATCATCTTCCCCTGGGAGTGCTGACTGTGTCTGAATTTGGGGGGGTAAGGGGACAGACCCTTAGTGACAAATCACTGAAAGCCACGTGGGACTTGGGACTGGTGGATGTTGGGGTCTTTGTGGCCAAGTGCAGCAGTACTTTGCCCCAGGCTGTGTCCCTGGCTGCTGGCCACCAGTGGAGCGAAGGATGTTTGCTGGTCTTCTACCTCCAGACCTGAAGTCAGCTTGGTGGTATGTGTCCCGTCGCTGTGGGACTGCTGGGGTTGCTCTCCTGTGTCATGCAGGCAGGGGGCCCCCCTGCTCCAGCATGCCCAGAGCAAGGCTCACTATGAGCATCCCAGTGATATGGAGCCGGCTCTCTGCTGGGCTCCAGCTGCTTCTTCTCCCCTGCCTGAAAGTAGCTTTCTCCTGTCCCTTTGCCTTCACTGACTGAGAGGCTCTAGAGCTCTCCCTCTGTACCTGGAAGCTGGCTGAGAGAAATGACTGTTGGTGGCACTTCATCTCCCTGACTTCCCAGTAGCAGGGCGTAGAGCACAGCCGTTGGTTGCAAAGTGGGCCTGGGAAGCCTCATGCTAGGCTGAAAGGATGCAGCTTCTCCCTTTGGGGCTCCAGCCCTGTGTGTGGGGCTGCTGGCACTGCTGCTCCCATGTGTCACTACCAGGATGCTGTACCAGGACCGGTTTACCTCTTCCTGCCAGCCTCCCAGCAGCAGGTTCTGGGCTCAGGAAAATGTGTCAGGAGAGAGGCCAGAGCCTCATCCAACATGGCACAGGCTCACTCAAGCAGCTGAATTACAGGCCTTCAGCAGCAGCACCTCCCTGACCGTAAATCTCCAGGCAGGACAGGATAGATAGGGTTCTTTCACTCCTCTCATCTACTCTGGCCCATCCCCACTCTGTGGAAGGAATTCCCCAGGTCCCCAAGGGTCCCACCGCAGCAACCTCACATGGGAAGGCACCAGCAGCCTGGTGGGACACAGGGGAAGTGCCACCCTGTGTGAGGACCAATTGTCCTGGTGCTGTGCTCTTGTTTATAAGTTCCCAGCCCCTCCCCGCTCCCCCCAGTGTGGTGGCTGCGTGGGTCTGGCTCCAGCACAGCCACTAGCTCCGTTGGCGTTGAAGGAGCTCCTCTCCTGCTGTGGGGATCTCTCCTCTAAGGAAGAGGGATGAGCAGAGGGATGCACTCGGACAGGCTGCTGCCAGCAACAGGCTGGAGGCTGGTTTGAAGCTCTCCTGCCGTCCTAGGAGACGGGCTTGGATTTACAACCGGTGGTGGCGTGCTCTGTTGTACCCCGCAGTCACAAGCTCTGATGTGGCCTTGTGGTAGTCTGTGGGATGTTACTCAGTCAAGTCAGTGGGAGGCTGAGCTCCCTCTTCTCCCAGCCCCGCTTAGTGCCCCAATTTCTCAGTGCTCTGCAACAAGGTGCATCGTGTTGAATCGGAGCAGTTCCTCACCTGGTGCAAGCAAGTGCTGAGATGTGCACTGCACAGCCCTGAGCTTCATCTGCTTGGGCTAACGCTGCATTGCAGCTGCAAGGCTGGAGCACTTGAAAGCTCCCAGAAAGGTCATGGCATCAGCTAGTTGTGTTCTTGCCTTCCCTGTGGCTCCCTGCTGGGAGTCACTGAGGAGGAGATAGCAAGCAAAGCATGTTGCATAGGGCCACAGTGGTCTGCAGGCCTGAGGGGCTGCCTCTAGGGAAAAGAGAACAGCAGGATCCCAAAGGGAAGGGGGCTAATCCTGGTCAGGGGATGCTGTTTGCTTTTCTGTGCCTTCCATGCTAGCCATGAAGTGGCTGGATAGTTCGCTGTTGCTCAGTGGTGGAAAGTGGCTGTCTTCCTCATCCCATGCCAAGAATCACCCTGTCTCGCTCTGTCTTTTGTCTTGCAGCAACCACGGCTGATCGGTTCTACAGGATAGACCGTGCACAGGTGAGTGTAGCTTTGGCCTCTGCTGTCGTTCCCCTGGCACCTGCTGGGAAGGTGCTTGGGTGTCCTGCGGACTGACAGGCAGGCTTAGCCTCGGGGGCGTGCAGGTCTCGCACCGCTGCCCTGCCCTCCCCTGTGGCAGCCCCTGAGGGGTGGTGTGACCGGCCGGCCACAGCACCTCCAGGTTCCCGCAGTAAGGGAGGGAGCATGGGTGGGAGCACAGAGATTTGGAGTGGAAGCTGCCGACGGGACCCTACAGCGGAGGGGGTAAGGAATAGCACTGTAGCAAGGCTGGCTGGGCACCCACCTCATCTTAATGAGGGGGATGTGGAGATGACATGTACGGGTCATCTGCTAAGTTAGCAGGAGATGGGAAGCCTGAAAAGGACAAGGAGATGCAGAGGCTTCCCAGCACAGGTCCCAGGATTCTTTGAGCCACCAGCACTCTGCTGAACAAGATGCAAGCACTCCCCCGCAAGGCATGGGATGTGAGAGGATGGAGTTATACAGAAGTAGGTCTTGCTTCTGAAGAGGGCTGACTTGTTTCTTTCAGGAGCACCTCAACTATGTGACAGAGATTTCTCAGGATGAGCTGTATGTGCTGGACCCAGAGCTGGTGATCACCCAGACTGTGGGCACCTCTCCTGCCATGCCTGACCTCGTTGACTCATCTGCCGCACCCAGTGGGCACCATTTTGCATTTCCCTCCTCTTCCTCCTCTCCACCTTCCTCTCCTGCCCCCAGGTGAGTCTGGAATGGAGGTGCTGAACCTCAGGAAGGATGAGCAGTGATGGGAGAGACAGGGTTAGCTTCACAGCATTGATCCCTGGGCCAGGGGCTCCCTGGAAGCGAGCAGGAATTCAGTGGTGAATGAGACCAAGGGGTGAGATGCCATCCTGTCTTCTCTGCTCCTCTGCCAGTGCCGCTGGAAGCAGTGGGGCATCACCAGGTCGCTCAGCCATGGGGTCAGGCTCCAGTGCCTGGCCTGTGGGGCAATGGACATGGGTGTCTTTCAGCCCAGCTGAGGCTGGCCTTGGGTATGGGTGAGCAACAGAGCTGGGAGCAGCAGCAGAAATGGGAGTGGGGATGGGGAAGAACCCATATCAGGGAAGAAGCAAATGGCATGGCGAAAGAGCAGTGAAGTCCCTTGGCCTGCCTCTGCTCCTGCCTGCTGGAGGAGTGCCACAGGCAGGCTTCTCCACAGCCATCTCTCTACCCACGACATGCCCTTTTGGGCAATCTGCTGCCAGGACTGGCAGGGTTAGTTACACCTTTTCTTCTTCCCTTCCAGCGCTGAGCCTGAGCACTGTCTCCCACACAAAGGTGAGTCCTGTCACACCCCCTCACAGGTCACACTGTTTTGGGTCCCTGCCATGTCTTCTTAAGCCTGTCCTTTCCTTGATGTGCCGGCAAGAGCCCTGCTGTCTGTGCTAGGTGGGAGCAGAGAGCCCTGCGGGCGGGTGACCCCAGAGGTGGGCAGGAGAGACCTGACAGTGATTTGTGGAGCAGCCTGGCCAGGTGCCTTCCCAGCCCTGCTGTGCGGGAAATGGCATGGCCAAGGGGTTAATCCCCCACCTGCAGAGCTGAGCGAGTGCTGTGGGCTGGGCTGGGGGGCTGTCTCTGCCAGGGGGAGCTCAGGAGGTGGGAGCACAAGGTCAGGGGCCTTGTGGAGCTGAGCAAATGAAAAGAGTTTCCTGGAACTTGAGCAGAGCCCAGTGCCTAGAAGTGTGAGTGAGTCATGGGTGAGAGGTGTCTTGGCCGCTGGCTCATGCCCAGGAGATCTGATCCCCACTTCCATCACCAGTCATCCTGCCCATGGGCAGAGACTGCCCCTCCTGCATGCACATCTCCCTGGGGCTGAGGTCTGGCTGCACCCCCAGCTACATGGGGTCTCCATTCTTCCCCTGGCTTGTCCCTTACATGCCTGAAGGTAGGGGAGCCATGTAAAACCAGTCTGACCAAGGGGTTAGCACCTGGAGGAGCTCCAGCTGACTCCCAAGCCTCCAGTGCCCAACCCTTGGCTCCCCAATTAGCCAAACGATATTACAGCTCGGCTTTTCTGACCCCAACCCATCTCCCTTCTTTGCAGATGAGCTGATAGAAGCTGCCAAGAACGGCAACTTCAGCAAGGTAGGTGCCTCCACTGCCTGCTGCGATGTGCAGCCAGGGCTGGCTCTGAGTGCTTGCCTGGCAGCCTGCTCAGCTGACGTTCCCCTCTGGCTATGGGAAGCCCTGCCAGCCGCACTCCGCAACTGCGCTGGAGCAGCTCCTCTCAAGGGCCTTCCTCCAGGAGCAGGCAGGCTCCTGGCAAGGAGCCTTGTTTCTCTCCTGGGGGACATGGAGGGAAGGGACTTGGCGGCATGAATGAGCTGGACAGAGCTCCCTGCCAGGCCCTGAATATCCACACAACCTGCTGGGCACCCCAGGGATGCAATGCTGGGGCTTGGGGCTTGGAGCTGGGAAAGACAGCTCATCCTGAGCAACCTGGCAATCCTGTAGTTCCAAGAGCTGCACCGGGCTGGAAGAGACCTGATGGTGCGAGACTCCTCGGGCCAGACCGTCCTCCACCATGCCGTCAAATCAGGGAGCAAAGACATCGTCAAATACATCATCGAGAACGGTGAGCTGGGGCCAGAGTGCCACCCTTAGCAAAGGAGCCCAGCAGCCGAAGAAGCCCAACCCTCTGCTCAGAGGAGGTGCTCCTGGGCTTAGGTCCCTTCCCTCTGGGTTTGCTACCTCCTCCTTCTGGCATGTGGGCTTTCCCTGGCATCTGTCCGCCAGTACTGGGATGCCCCCGTGGCTGTTGCCACATCCAGGCACGGACCAGCACGTCTCTGGGAAACAGTTTTCAGTGTCCTGCTTCTGCCTTCAGGGCAGCTGACTTGTTGTTTTTGGCAGCTCCCACTGAAATACAGGCTGCTTTATTTTTATTTAGATATTTCTCTGTAATGAGTCCACAATAACTCTTCTTCCCTGGGCTCAGCTGGGCTCAGATGCCATTGCTGGCCTGAGCACTTTGGAGTCAGGACCTTTGCAGGCAGCATGGAAATAGCAGCCCCTATGGAAAGATGCAGAGTGTGACTGGGGAGTAGGTGGGTCCATCTGCCCCGCAGCTGGGTCTCACTCGCCCTGCACTGTCTTTCTTTCCACAGCCCCTTCAGAAATCCTTGATGCCACGGAGGAGGAGAAGTAAGTTGCTGACTGACTTGCGTTACCTGTTGGCCAGACCCTCTGTGAGGTGACCAGTTGTCTGGGCACTTACCAGCCCCCCTTGCTCTAATTACCAGCCGTGGTTCCCAGTGCTCTCTGGACTGACTGTCCCAGAGCAGCACCCCCTCTTCTGTCAGGGCTGCCTGGACAAGTGTGCAACCCACCACGAGCTTCTGCTGCAGCTGAAATGCTGTCCCTCGCTGTCACCCACACATGCTGCATGTCCCTGTTTGGAGGGGTCATTTCACATCTCCCGCTTTCTCCTCCCCAGTGGTGAAACCAGCTTGCACCAGGCTGCAGCCTTACGCCAGCGCACTATCTGCCACTACATCGTGGAGGCCGGGGCTTCGCTCATGAAGACGGACCTGCAGGTGATGGTGGGAGGGCTGGCAGTGGGGCTCTCTGGGAGGACTGGGGGGCTGGCAGGAGTGGGGCCAGCAGGGGAGCAGAGCAAGAGTGCTTTTTCTGGGATCTTTGCCAGCCGGAGAGGAACTGACATGAAGCACCCACGCTTGCCCAGCAGAGCCCAGCTGCAGAGGGGTTAAATCCCTCTCCTCCCTGTGCTTCTCTCCCTGTTGTTTTATTAAATTAGAAGCGAGGGGCTGGAATGTCTCATCCCTGTCTCCCTCTTCCCACCCTCTGGGGTCAGAGCGAGGACAGTCTCACTATGAGCTCCCTCCCAGCTGCAGGGCCCCCCTCCACTCTCCCCCGCGGGCAGCTGTGATGGGGCACTGGGAGCTCCTCTCGGTGGGTGAAGCCAGCCGTGGGGAGCAGGAGCAGTTCACGGCAGCCCTTTCCCTCACGTGCCAAGTTTATTGAGATGTGCCTTGGTGCTGGGAAATTGTGCCAGCCCTGGCAGAGGAGTTGCAGGAAGGGGACTTGAGGCTGTGTTTTGGTACAGGAGGTTCCTGAGGCAGGCAGGTGGTGGAGAGGACACAGTGTGTCCATCTCGCAGAGGCTCATAGCAATGGGATGTAGTGGAGGAGACGTAGGAATAAGCCAAGAAGGTGCAGTCTGTGGGTGTGAGGGACAGGGCAGGAGCCCAGGCAGGGGCTGCAAACTTGCTGGGGCTGGTGGAGCTTGGGGGCTGCCTCAGACAATGTGCAGCCCCCTTGCCAGCTGCCAGGGAGGTGTTCTACAGACAACCTCTGGCTTCTTGTCACTCCTTCTTGGTCTTGGCCAAGGCTTGGGCCTTGCACATCACCTGGAGCGGGGCTGGCCTGGCTGGAGACTCAGCCAGCAGCCACAGGATGAGACAGCGATGCCCAGGTGAGGTGGTGACTGGGGAGAGGCGGGGGGAGAGGGCAGCTCTGGGGGCATGGCCCCCCTCTGCCCCCAGCTCCCTCATCTGCATGAAGGAGGGGAGCAGCCCCCAACCTGCCAGCAAAAAGGGAGCCCTGCTCAGGCATGACAGGCTGCCCCAGGGAACGGGGCTTGTACATGCCTGTGCAAACACGTGTCCGGGTCTGTAGCTGCTGGGGACCCCTCTGTGCTGCTGCACTGACCTCGCCTGGGTCCTGGGTCACAGCCTGCCTGCGCAGGCAGGAACCCACCTCATTAGAAGCCCTGGCGTCAGACCTGTGGCACGGGTTCAGAGCGGGCTGATCCCACACCCTGCCGCGGTGAGGGAGGCCGAGCCTTTATCGGTTGGCGTGCCTCAGCCCGACTGGGCAGAGGGGCCCTGGCAGCTCCGGTTTCAGGCTGCAGGCAGGCAGCATTGCAGTGGGGCTTCTGCAGGGGGACAGGAAAGAAACTCAATTCCTCCTCTGATCTTTCCCCCGCTTTGTTAAATGAGCACTTGCGTTCAAGGGGCTGCAGAGAGGAGGCCCCCCAAGGAGAACTGGCACCAAAGCACAGAGCAGTCTCCCTACCCCTGCCTGCATGTGCGTGGGGGGATGTGTGCAGGACCATGGGGTGTGCCCAGGTCTTGGGGTGCATGTGCAAAAGAGGGGGTTTCTTGGTGCATTGCACTTCGCAGCCGTGCACGAATGGGCTTTTGTCCACAGCTGCATCCAGGCCCAGCGGAGGCTCTGCATGTCTGACCATTGTTCCTGCTGGAGAAATACACTGTGGGTTGTCCTGGAGGCCCCGGCCCCCTGCCGCA